GATGGATGGACAAGTCTATGGACGGACGGATGGACGGACAAGTCTATGGACGGACGGATGGATGGACAAGTCTATGGACGGACGGATGGATGGATGATTAACAAATACAATACAGCAGATCATATATGAGGGGAAAGAGGCGAGATTAGAACAGTACAATTACAATTAAAAAAAATAACAGCTTTACTGTTACTGTTATTAAAACTAAAGTTTTCTAGGATGATGGTGGACCAGGAGCATTAAAGATGAGATGAGGGAATAAGAATCCATAGGTGCATGAAACACTACTGAAGGCTGAGCTGCTAATGTGAGGCTTATTGGGCAACAATTGCTAGAGGAACCTGAGAGTGTTTCTCTCTGTGTGTGTTTCTGTGTGTGTGTCGGCACAATTTCCAGAGAGAGATATTGGTTTGTTACTTGATTTTAATATCTCTGCTATCTTTCGCCCACAGGGTCGCATTAGATTATAGCTCGTGAAAGAATAACGAGGTATAACCACAAACAACACAAAATCAAATGAGACACTAAACACTGAAGCGATGTGATGCAATGGTGCTGCATACAGCATCTACAACTCATTATGTTGGATTAATTTAAAACGCTTTTATTTTCTTCACTGTCACACCTCATAAAGATCCTTCCGTTTCGAGCACATTTTAATTGGTGGAAATGCACAACAAACGTTTTTCAAATTCATTTACTTAAGCAGCAAAGCAATAAAAGAATAAAGTCCTTTGGGCCACATGCCACATTTTTCAGTGTTTTATCATTCAGTGAATGGATTGAGCAACACAACTGAAACATTCACTGACAAGATCATTAAGTTTTCCTCACGACTAGTGCAAATATTGGCTCGGTCCCAAATTGCACACTATTCATGCAAGATGAAATTTAGCACATGCCATATCAAAGTATGTGTAAAAGACTGTTTAAAGGGTTTCAAAGGCACATCCATGCATAGTTTTGGGTTAAAAATGCCAAAATGCACTATACAAGAGGACGACCTTGATTTTTTCTTTTTTGGTAAAAAAAAAAAAAAAAGTAAAGGAATACCAAGTAAAAAAATGCTACAGCAGTTTCTACATGTACGAACCTAAAAGTTTACAATAATGCATTTTAAGGTGATATATTTACAGCACCCATGTGTTCAAGCTTCCATGCATATAATATATAATAATATATAATAATATAATATAATATAATATAATATAATATAATATAATATAATATAATATAATATAATATAATATAATATATGCATTTAGCAGACGCTTTTATCCAAAGCATATGCAAACAATAAAAAGTGCATAGTGTGTCTTATCAAGACAAGAGAATTTTATATGGAAGCTTGTTTCTGCAACGGAATTAAATAATAATAATAATAATAAAAAAGGCAATTGCGAGTTTTTGTCTCATGATTCAGACTTTTTCTTGCAATTCTGACTTTATATCTCACAATTCACACTTTTTTTTCTGAATTGCAAGATATCTCTTTATATCTTGCAATTCTGACAATATATCTTGCAATTCAGAATAAAAGTCTGAAGTCAGAATTGTGAAATATAAATTCAAAATTGCAAGAAAAACCTTAGAATTCTGCATTTATATTTTGCAATTCTGACTTTTCCTCCCTCAAAATTGTAAAAAAAAAAAAAAAAAAGTCTGAATTTAGATTTTATTTATTTTATTCATCTATTTTTTTTTAATTCCGTGGCGGAAATGGGCTTCCATAATTTATGGGTTAGATTGAATGCAATGATCACCATATAACTGTTTACCTCTCAGCACAGATTGATATGCATTATCCCTCCTCTACCTGAGAAAAGATTTCATCCAAAGTTTAGACATGGACCTGAAAAAGCCACCGTTTCCTTTTCAGCACTGAACCGCAAGAAACACCACACTGTCTCGACTGTTTGATGATCAAAGTGTGTTAGCAGGAGTCCAGCTCAATTTTTGGTTAAAAATGCCAAAATGCACTATACAAGAGGACGACCTTGATTTTTTCTTTTTTGGTAAAAAAAAAAAAAAAAAGTAAAGGAATACCAAGTAAAAAAATGCTACAGCAGTTTCTACATGTACGAACCTAAAAGTTTACAATAATGCATTTTAAGGTGATATATTTACAGCACCCATGTGTTCAAGCTTCCATGCATATAATATATAATAATATATAATAATATATAATAATATAATATATATTTTGCAATTCTGACTTTTCCTCCCTCAAAATTGAAAAAAAAAAAAAAAAAAAGTCTGAATTTAGATTTTATTTATTTTATTCATCTATTTTTTTTTAATTCCGTGGCGGAAATGGGCTTCCATAATTTATGGGTTAGATTGAATGCAATGATCACCATATAACTGTTTACCTCTCAGCACAGATTGATATGCATTATCCCTCCTCTACCTGAGAAAAGATTTCATCCAAAGTTTAGACATGGACCTGAAAAAGCCACCGTTTCCTTTTCAGCACTGAACCGCAAGAAACACCACACTGTCTCGACTGTTTGATGATCAAAGTGTGTTAGCAGGAGTCCAGCTCAACCCCCTTCACACACACACAGTTTTTCATATTAAAGCACTGAGAAACCTGATGTTACCTTGAGGCGCTAGACTTTAATGAGGGGATTTGAGTGGAATGTAAAGGTGTGAAGGGTCACCTTTATATGGGTGAATTGGGGAAATTTACCAGCCATGAATACATTTATAACCAGAAATATGGAATTATATTTAGCATTATGTTTTTCTTGTTTTCTGCATTTCATGTTCTTTCTCTTTCCTCTTGCTCCCTTCATCTCTCAGTTATTTTAATTACTACATTAAGTGATATTACTCTTACTAATGACCTGTTTATTTGACTGCATGCATGCAGTAAGAAGGATGATGGTGTTTGGGTCAGATGCTGTAGAAATAAACCACAATTCGGTGCTTATGCGGAGTTGCAATCAACTGATGCCTTGGTTTAATGCCCTTGTAATGGTTAATCAATCAGACGAACTTATAATTAAACATGACAGGCGTTCTTAAAGAAAGAAAGATGCTTTGCATATATCATAAATGATCACAAATGCATGCTATACAGATCATTTTAGGGTGGTCTGGCCATCCCATACAGCATTTTTTTTTTTTCAAATGTACTTTTAAATATATATATATATATATATATATTTTTTTTTTTTTAAATGGCCAAATATATATTTAAAAATGTATGTAAACATATTTTTCTATTTTAAAAATACAAAAATGGTAGAAAATATAAATATATATTTTTAAAAGCATTTAAAATATATTTTGCCCTCCATATGTTTCAATCCGAGAAAATACATTCACACATCACATTTAAAGAAACACTTTATTTGTTGTCTGTAATGTGTGAAAATACACTAGGTTATTCCATCCACATTTGCATCTAGCCTAAATCTAGGCTACTGTAAGACCGGAAATGTATTTTCCTGTATATTTTGGTACATGAGAGTTGAAACTAAATATATTTTCAGTTTAAAAATATATGTCATTGTGCTTGACTGGTTACAGCATATATTTAAAATACATTTTGGCCAGATTTTTATTTTTTTGTATGTATTTTTTGTCATGTGGGATATACAGTAGTGAGCACCAGGAACCAAATTAAGATATCAAGGGGTCAAAGTTTGGCTATAGTCTTAAAAGCCTGAATTTAACTTGCAGCATGCAGTCTGTCCTTCAATTATGGCATAGAAATTCCCATTTAGACAGAAAGAGATGATCTAAATGACATGTAAAGCTACCAACTACACTATGTTTCGATTTTACACACTGCTTAGGAGATTCTACCAACAATAATAGACCAGTACAGAAAATTAGTTTTTATAATCATGCAGCAATATCTATGAAAACACTGCAAACAGAAAAGGTATGCCTGTGCAAATGTAATAAGCACTGTTTCTCAGACAAAACAAAGCACTGCTTTTGATGACTAAATCGTTTTTTTCTCTTCATTTTTGCATTTCACTTCTGTTCCAGCTTGTGTGCTGATCTATCTTGCTTAAACTCAGCATTGTGTGTTTTAAGTCTTATGATAAAATGCTTGCAATGCTTCTCATTTGTAAGTCACTTTGGATAAAAGCATCTGCTAAAAGAATACATGTAAATGTTTACTTACTGCTAAGTGCTTCAAACAAAACTCTTTCAAAAGAGTTGATGGCACTAACCTTGCAAACTTTGGCAGATTTGTTCTTCCACAGTGCTCACTGTATCAGTGTTGTACCATCTTAACACGACTTTGTTCCCAGCCGGCGATCAGACTGGATGCAGTGATTTCAGCCAGTGCTTGGTGTTTTTGTGTGTAATGTGCATCAACCGCTCAGTGAACAAACTATGAGCGGCCTGACCTGCATGCTCTCGTGGGCCTTCAGTTCAGACAAGGAACTTTAGCCAATTTGGAGCCAATGACCTGAGTCATAAATGCCATGTGACTAATCACTTTTTAGTCACAAGAAAATGACATCATGACAAAGCTGATTGGCTGATGACACCACAGTTCTAAACCTTCACTAGTGACTATCATGAGCTGTGATGACAAACACAAAAAAACTAAAAAGAGGTTGAAAAAGAATGTAATACTAAAAATTATAACATTAAATTAATCCATGATAATAATACAATGTTGTTATCTAAAACTAAAATTCAATTCAATTCAGTTGAATTGAAATTAAAAACAGTTTTCAGAAATTGAAATAAAGCTAAAATAAAATAAAGCTAAAACAAAATGAATGAAATCAATGAAAATTAGAAATGTTGCCTTGGCACCTAACTGAAATAAGCTGAAGAAATAAAATTAAAATAAAAGTAAATAGAAGTTAAAAAATAATAAAGATGCATAACAAAATTACTAAAATGAATGTATAAAAACTTAAACATAACTGTCCAACTAACATTTGTCTTTTTAATTTTACTTGATATACTAAACCCTCAAAAAAAAAAAATGAATTCAAAATTTACAACAAATTCAAAATTAAAGAGTTTTCAGAAATTGAAATAAAGCTAAAATAAAATAAAATCAATGAAATCAATGAAAATTAGAAATGTTGCCTTGGCACCTAACTGAAATAAGCTGAAGAAATAAAATTAAAATAAAAGTAAATAGAAGTTAAAAAATAATAAAGATGCATAACAAAATTACTAAAATTAATGTATAAAAACTTAAACATAACTGTCCAACTAACATTTGTCTTTTTAATTTTACTTGATATACTAAAACCTCAAAAAAAAAATTAAAATGTACAACCAATTCAAAATTAAAGAGTTTTCAGAAATTGAAATAAAGCTAAAATAAAATAAAATCAATGAAAATTAGAAATGTTGCCTTGGCACCTAACTGAAATAAGTTGATGAAGTAAAATTAAAATAAAAGTAAACAGAAGTTAAAAAATAATAAAAATACATAACAAAATTACTAAATGAATGTATAAAAACTTAAACATAACTGTCCAACTAACATTTGTCTTTTTAATTTTACTTGAAATACTAAAACCTCAATTAAAATAATAAAAAAACCGAATTCAAAATTTACAACAAATTCAAAATTAAAAACTATAATAATAATAATAAATCTATTATAATATCTCAATGATACTAAAATAACACTTATCAAAACATATCCTATATATAGTAATAATTTAATATATATAGTAATATAAAAATAATTCTAAAGCACTGCATTAATGCAATGTTTCGATAAAAAGAGGCAAAATATATAAATAAAATAGCTGCAGTTGTCAGCAGGGCCTGGATCAATATTAACATGATTTCCATTAATCATAGAGAATATCATAGAGAAACCATCACCCATGACTCCCTGGGGCACAAAAGACTTAAACATCTTCATTTTTGTATATGCACTCATTTTCTGAATGGAAAAGCGTCGTACAGTACATTTATTCAAAAGTTGTGCCATTTCGCTGCATTTTTTTCAGATGACTGTGGTGTCAAAAGCAACCATTACAGATGAACCCTTTTTGTAAGTGATGTTTATGTTCCTTGCACTTCTTTTGATGCAGTACTTCTAGTTACTCATTTCCTGTGTTGTTTGTTTTTCACTCAGTTTCTCAGTCGCCGCGCTGATTCATTTAACAGCATGACGGCATCCAGAAATCTGGAACATCTTGTCTTGTGCAACAGAAAAAGCTTCGAAAATACTTGTCACTTTACAAAAGTCCTCCTGAGCGCACGCATATTTACATAATCGACGTTGTGGCATCAAATACATCACCGGTAATTATTTGTTAGCCTAAACAGGACAGATGTACAGCACACTTATATTTCATTGTGGCTTTCATTTGTGTAGCTACTCTGAACAATTAACCTTAACAACCAACTAGCGAGCACATTTGATTTATTCTGTCCCTTTTTAGTGGTATCTTAGTCTATACTGAACTTGGGCCTATATTTCTGAAATGCATGCATCATTGACCATTTCCGTTCATATTAGTCATCCAGATTGCAATTTCTGAATTTGATTCATGACATTTTTTATTACAGACGTTGAACATCTAGTTCCATCCAGCAGGCTTTTGAATCATGCATAATGACTTTACTAAACACACAAATAAAAACTTCTCAGTTTCCTATGTAATTCCAGTATATTAGACCACTTCAGTTTCTTTGCTTAGACAGAGATTGTCTTATTATTGGGAGATGAGAGGGTCTGTATTACTTAGCCTACCGTTGGAAAAAGTGCAACAGCTAACTTGGATCACGTGAGGCACCTCAGCCAATCATACAATGGCAGTGACATCAGTGGCCAGCTTTCACAGTTCTACGATAGTTAGTTACAGTTTATGTTGCACAGTAAAAAAAGAGCGCGAATTGCTGGTCACTTACTGGTCACTGCAATTTAAGATTAGGTTTTATTCTGTTCAATTAAAAAAATATATATTTGTTGAAATCTGGAAGGCATAGAAAGAATACATTTTAATGATTTTTTGGTTACACTTTATTTCGATAGTCCACTTTAGACATTCTACTAACGATAAGTAACTTTGTAACTACATGTCAACTACATGTCAACTAATTCTCATTAATTTGCAACTACATGTCTACTAACTCTCAGAGTAGACTGTTAGGGTAGGTTTAGGGTTAGTAGAATAAGTTGACAAAGAAAGTGTTAGAAGATATTAAGCAGACAGTCTACTAATACTCTACTAACTGCTAGTTGACATGTAGTTGCAAAGTTACTTGCTGTTAATAGAATGTCTAAAGTGGACTATCGAAATAAAGTTACTGATTTTTTTTTTACCTTTATTCATTAAAAGGCACTATATCATCATCATACGCAGCAGTCACTACATTTCAAGTCTGTTGATTGAAACTAGGAAGTCGAACAAATTTTATTTTCATTAAACAACATATAATATAATACAATAATTTAAATAATTCATTTCATTTATTCATTAAAATGCATTATATCAACATAAGGAATGTGGTCACATAATAGTCATTACAATTCAAGTCTAATTTCAGGTAAAACCTAAAAACCAAAGAAAGAAAACGTTGAGCTGGAAATGAGTCCTACCTATTGCGACATCATTAGAATCTGTGATCTGCTCTGTCACTCATATGCAGATCATTTTTCATCTCCTGTTGTCTCTCACATCAAAATCCGTCCACATATTTGTTTAGAACTGTTTTGGCTTTTAAACAGTGCTTGATCTGTGCATATTTTTCTCCTGATTCGGACGAGACGACTTTTTCACTGGAGAAAGCAATAGTATGGATAGACGACTCGTATTTTAGCTGAAAGCAATGGTGTTAAGTTAAAACATCTTAATGATGGATTTGTTTCTTACAAACATGCAGCTTTTTACTTCACAAGACATTAATTAATGGACTGGAGTGGTGTGGATTATTGTGATGTTTTTATCAGCTGTTTGGACTCATTCTGACGGCACCCATTCACTGCAGAGGATCCATTGGTGAGCAAGTGATGCAATGCTACATTTCTACAAATCTGTTCTGATGAAGAAACAAACTCATCTACATCTTGGATGGCCTGAGAGTGAGTACATGTTCAGCAAATTTTAATTATAGTGTGAATTATTACTTTAAATCTGCCATTTTGTTTCTTTACCAAACTGCCAAAACTTTTAGAAAAAGACATTTATAAATGGGCTGCTGGAAGACAATTGCTTCAGCTGGAAACGTCTTTTTGCTCATAATTGAATGGCATGTCTGAGCTGTACAGTCGCTTTGTACTTTGGTCAAGACCTTTCCAACAAGAATCCAACAGCAGCAATGTAATGAAGCTTAGAGTCGGGCTGTGTTTGACACGGTCACTGCTTTAGCATGTGATGAATCTGTCCAGCAGTGATAAGGATTTATATACTGTAATATGCCAGTCCCAGAGATACGCTCCAGTGGGACTGTAAATGGATATATTGATATGGATAAAGTCTGGCTTAGCGGAAAACAAAGAACAGAGAATGGTGTAATAACCTTACAAATTATTGGACCTTCTATTTTTCAAGGTCAAAAGGGGTCGAATCGTACAAAGCATCATTATAATGAGTATAATTACAATGTGTGGTCACGTTATAAATGTAAAACAAGAAATTATATTCTGCATAAAGAAAATGAAGTCTTTAAGACCATTAGCCATTATTTTCATCACAGCACTTTTACACATTTTCACATTCAAATGTCATTAACACAATGCATCTGGATGTTTTATTTGTTTGTTTGTTGTTTGGCTGTAAAATCTTTACTTTGGTCTTTAATTTGTTACAGTAAAATAATAAATAAATAAAATAATTAAAGATCATACCAAGATGTATACCAATGTTTTCACATTATGTATATATATATATATATATATATATATCCATACTGAGAATTTGGGGAAGAGTTAACTCTGTTTAAACGGCAGGAAAATAAAATACATGGTTTCTTATTTCTTTTGATTTTGGGGTGAAATATTTTATTTTGTCTGTGAGCTGTTGGCCCATGAGAATCACATAACTGATGCCTTCATTCTAGGGCTGTGACCTTAAATTTGTCATCTTCTGTCTTTTTATATCTAGGAACTAGTGAAATATTTATTGAAAGCAGTTGTTTGCAGGTTAGATTTCATGTAAAGAATATATCACATCATAAAAGCTGAATCAGGCTGAACAAGGGACCAAAGCAAAAGCACTTGTTTTTGGGCTGTTTGTCTTGTGGCATTAGTTTCTGCGAAACGCAGATCCAGGCTGCTAGATTGCTCGTGTCTCCATTTCACAGCTGCTGTTTCTGACAAAATGCTTTTGTTATGCTTGAGAAAACCATCTCTGCTTAGCTGTGCAGTTCTTGTCTGCTATCAGACAGAAAAAAAAAAAAACACACACCACGCAGGCATCCAA